ACGATATCAGGGTAAACTCGATGCCAGCGCCCCATCGCTAACACAGACATGACAAGCCAGAACCAGACATTGCAATTGTGCCTTGGAGAGAGACATTTCAGGAATTTGGATTTTGAAAAGAAATAGTTGTCTCAAGAAGTCAGTAGTCAGCCCATTGCTAACAGACCAGGACTGGTTTATATTTTGCTAACCCAAACATGTTGTTTTGTGACTAATGCTAAAAGTGCTTTTATATTAAATATAGGGGAAAAATAGTGTAGTGGTGAGTGAAGAGCCTCTTGGCTGCACTAGATGCAGAAAATAAGTAAGATATGTAGCCCCAGCCCTAAAAACTTTGAACACCGAGGAGAATAAGGAAGTAAGGGAAAGAGGAGGGAGGGCTAAGACACGCCATTCTCCAGACTCCATACAGCTGTTGTAATCAGTAATCAACAGCAATTGTACTTACCTGCACTGACCTCACACTAGACCACAGTCAGTCTAGGAAAGGGAAAGGCTCACAGGACCCCACCCTTAACCTCTCAAATGTTGTCTATGGATGGATTGTAGGAGAAGAATCACTGACTTTAGCCGCAGTCCTCTGCTCAGCCCAGCAGCCTCCAAGACATAGCTCCAAATCCAGTCTCAGAGATGACTCAGGTTAATCTCTGGATCCCAAGGAAAATAAATGGAGATGAACACAACAGAGATATTTGTTGGGATTGTGGACCAGGATAGTAGAGAGGTAGAAGATGAGAATGGGTGGTGTTTGCAACACACACAGAGACACACATACTTTTATACACACATTCTCTCTGTGTGAGAGATAAATCCATTAGAGAACTAATAATATAATTTTTTAAATGAGTACAGCAGTCTGTAATTCTCTTTGGGTAAAGAAAGCATTGGTTTGGAAAAGATGCTGGATATTCTCAGAATGGGTTATCCTATCCACTTAATTACTGAAATTCTCTTGAGCTGAAATGACATTTTGATGAATATTTGTACGGGGGCACATGTATCTTCATATCCTTTGTCCACTTGGAGAGATCTACCAACATACTTTTCCAGATACCTTTCTCACCAGTTTTCCAGTCATGCTGTTTCCAGGCTCTGACCATCCAACCAATCCATTGACTACAGCCCATGAGTCAGTGAACAACCACACATTTGGCTATTTTTCCTTCCAAACAATCTGAATAATGATGTGTAGTGATGGGAGATGTCATTCTGTAAATATGTTTCTTTTATTAGTTAATGAATAAAGCACTGTTGGCCAATAGGAAAGCAAGATAGATGGGACTAGGAGACAAGGGGGATTCGAGGAAGTAGAGACTGGAGAGAACAGAGGTCCAGGCCCTCTCTCCGGTAAGATGATACCACGAGAAATACTTAGATTAATAGAAATGGGTTAATATATAAGACAGAGCTAGCCAATAAGAAAATAGTAACTAGCCTACAGCTTTATATCAAATACAGCATCTCTGTGTGTTATTTGGAGCCGGCGTGGTGGTGGGACCAGATCAGCAGGGGAAAACCACTCATAACAGTGTAGTTTCCTATTTCTACCCACTGTGTATATTTCCCATCACCTTTGTGTTTCATAATTGTTCCAGGAAGAGATATGATGCTGCAGTTATCTACTTCTGGGTGGTGCCTTATAATGTGCAGAGCCATTAGTAAACCAGGCTCTTCTTTGGTCAACTATTAATAGGGTAAACCCCATGAGACTATAGATCATGTTTGGCAGCAAAATGCACTATAACATGCTTAGAAACCAAAGGCATTTGGGTTACTTCTTCATATAACTTTCAGGACCTTCAAATGCCTGATCATGTATAAATCACTCCCATTTGATAATGTATTGCTGCTGTTCATGTCCTACTTTATGTCATTGTGGGTCAGATAACACCCAGTTCATGATGGGTAGTTCAGGTTATGTGGTAACTTGGTGGCCAATTGTCAACCATTTACTGTCATTAAGGCCCAATGTCAGGCTAAAGCTGACTTTGGGAGAATAGTTGTCTGCAGATAGAGTCTTGCTACAAAATTCCAGTGGTCTTGAAAGACCCTCAGAGCTTAGAGCGTGGACCTTCATGCTCTGACTCAGGAAAGGCAATACCCCAAATCACTCATGAGAAGCGGTCTTGATTCAAAATGCAAAAGGACTTGTTTATTCCAAGTTCCCTGGGTTTCACAGTCATGCACCACACAAGGGTAGAGGCCTGAGGACCTCGAGGGCAGAATTGTGACAGTTTTTATAGGGTTTACAACAAAGGCCCCACATAGGTCACTGAGGCCAGGGTTTCAGAAGCAGCCAGATAAGCAATTAGTCAGTTCATTTTCTGATATCTTACTAGGCTTGGATTACGTACTCAAGGACCTGTCTGTCGTAAGCAGCAAGGAATGTGACCTTGCCTATTTACTGGCAGAGGGCAGAGTCTGGAATTTGAGGTTTTTAGGGCTTTTTAGATAGTATTTTTAAACTTCTAGTTTCCTGGGGCCACTGGAGAGTTAGGCTATATTTTCCATCCTTACAGTCTCTTGTTTGATCTACCTATAGGGGCCTGCCAAAGGCTCCAACCAGCATCCCTATCTGCCCACCTATGCCTCAAGTATCATGGGATCTGCAGGATAATATGGTCCAAGGGGTACAGCAGCCTGCACAGCAGCCTAGAGAGAGAAAGAACTCTCTCCTGTTCCAGGCACTACACAAACCTAGCAGCATTCTGAGTCACATGGTATTTGAGGGGAAAGTAACACACCAAATTGAGGAATATCTTGTTTCCAGAATCCAAATAGGTACACTAAACCTTCTGCTTCTTTCTTGGTGCTAACTCAAAAGAAAACTCCCTTACATAAGGGATAAGATGACAATCCACTAGTAACCCAGGATTGGGTTACCTATAAGAAGAGCAGAAAATGAAAGGTGTAAGCTACACTCAAAGGCTTTACTTCTAATTCACAATGGGGAGTAATTGCATAAATGTGACAAAGTCATTCAACTCTTATTAGTCATACTAGAGAGAAACTATATAAACATAAAGGTTGTAGAAAAAGCCTTCAGAACAAACCCAGCTTCTAGTTCTTGTGTTGTGAGCAAAGCTCCAAGACATCCTTCCTGTTAATACCTGGAAACTGTGTTTAGCAACAAACCACTTCCAAGAGACAGACAAAGCCATAAAAACTATAGAATGCTCCCAGCACCAACCAATGAGAACAGACTACCTGAAAGTAACGGAAAAGTCAAAGAAACTACCAAATGTTCCCATCTGTACCCAACCAATCAAAAATGCTAGCAAACCAGTTGCCCCGACTCTGAGAAATTCCCCTAATTGTTCCCCAAATGTCAACCAATCAGGATCCAAGCTATGCCCCTCACTACCGACTGATGCAATCCTGTGATTGTCTTAAAAGCCTAGCAGTAAACAGGAACTCCACTCCCTCTGGAAGCTACTGTGTCATCTTGCTAGATGGAGTCCCTGTCACGGTCGGATGAAACAGTAAACCTTGCTTTTGCAGCTTGGTGAGTCTATTTACCTGTGGGTCTTTGGGGATCCTCACAATTTACGTTTAACAGTATGCACATGATCTTCCTGGGGAATATTAGAAGCAGTACTCCTGGGATAAGTCATAAATGATTCATAACAACTTTCCATAAATCCAGTATCCTCAAGGTGTATGTATAAATATGAACTACACCAAGCATGCAAGATATGGAGATCAAAGTCTAAAGTCAGGTCAAGGGCACCATGTGGCTCAGCTTTGCTGGTTCTCGGTCAAGATGCTGGGCTGGATTAATTAATGTCTTTCACCATTCCCATCAGAAATGTGTGTGCTAGCATGGACATCTTCTCTCTTCACACTTTTTCATACCTTCTATTTTTAAGTTTAATTCTACTATGAAGATCTTGAAAGTGAGCAAACAATGAGATATTAATGGGGCAGTTTTTGTGCTGAGTTTTGGGTGGAATTTGCTTTTGTCAGCAATTTGAGCACCAAGCAAAGGATTTACCACATTGAATGTGTTTGGTGGGTATCATTTCTAATGCTCAATGACACATAGGTTTTAAATATGGTAAAAATTTATGTGTTTTTTTAGAAATATGAGTTACATGATATATAGCCCAATTATAGGTATTTGCCACATTTTTATGTTACTGTATTTTGTCAATATCATTATGATGATGATGATGATTGATGGGAAGTCCTGACAGCCTTAGAAGTGACTATGTAGATTAGGTTGGCCTAAGACTCACAGATATTTACTTGCCTCTGCCTACCGAGTGCTGAGATTGAAGGTGTATATCACCTTGCATGAAATTATTCTCAATTTTTGGATGTGGAACTAGATACATAGCTCATAGCTGTTTTTAAGTACACTTCAGGGAATATTATGCCCTCTTCTGGCCTCCATAGTCATCAACAAACAGTGCACAGAATTTCTTGTAGACCAGATACCCACACACATTAAAATGAATTCAACATTACTTTTGCAAAATTTTATTTCAATATGAACTCTGTTATTTTTTTTAAGTTTAAAACATCAGTAAAGGCTTTCAGAAGTTCCTTATCTTAATGATTCCATTATGCATACCTGGGATTTGTAAGTCAAGAATACTGTATAAATATTATGTATGTCACATGATTTACAATGGTCTTTTCTGTCCAGGATAAACTCTCTGATATCTTCTAAGATTTGAAAGGTGGATGTAAGATATGCTACAGTCTTAACATTTGTAAAGTTTCTCTCTGATATGCTCTTAGATATTAGCAGCTACAAAACATCTTCTTACATTCCTTACATCTCTCCAGTGTGAACTCTTTGATGTAGGTCAAGGTTTTGTCCATTCCAGACATTTGTATGTACCTTCAGATGTGTACTAGATTTTTCTTGGAAGTAAAAGATTTTCTCATTTTGGACATGTGTAAGGTTACTCTTCAGTATGGATTTTCTGATGTCTTCTAAGATTTAAACTCTAGATAAAGGACATGATAAATTTTCCACACTTGTAAGGTTTCTAACCAGTATGAATTTTCTGATGTTTTTTAAGATATGTGAGTGTAGCAAAAGATCTGCTACATTCTCCACATTTGTAAGGTTTCTTTCCAGTATGAATTTTCTGATGCTCTCTAAGATATGTGCATGTGGTAAATGATTTGTCACATTCCTGGCATTTGTAAGGCTTCTCTCCTGTATGAATTCTCTGATGCTGTGTAAGAGTTGACTTTGCAGTGAAGGATTTCTCACAGTCCTTACATTTGTAAGGCTTTTCTCCTGTATGAATTCTTTGATGCTCTCTAAGAGTTGGCCTCACAGCAAAGGATTTCTCACAGTCCTTACATTTGTAAGGCTTTTCTCCTGTATGAATTCTCTGATGCTGAGTAAGTTTTGACTTCATAACAAAGGATTTGTCACAGTCCTTACATGTGTAAGGCTTCTTTCCTGTGTGAATTCTCTGGTGCACTGTAAGAGTTGTTTTCATAGTAAAGGATTTGTCACAGTCTTTACATTTGTGAGGCTTCTCTCCTGTATGAATTCTCTGGTGCAGTATAAGATATGACCTCACATTAAACGATTTGTTACAGTCCTTACATGTGTAAGGCTTCTCTCCTGTATGAATTCTTTGATGCTGCATAAGCTTCGATTTCATAATAAAGGATTTGTCACAGTCCTTACATGTGTAAGGCTTCTCTCCTGTATGTATTTTCTGATGCACTGTAAGACATGGCCTTGTACTGAAGGATTTGTCACAGTCTTTGCATTTGTAAGGCTTCTTTTCTGCATGAATTCTTTGATGCTGCATAAGCTTCGATTTCATAATAAAGGATTTGTCACAGTCCTTACATGTGTAAGGCTTCTCTCCTGTATGTATTTTCTGATGCACTGTAAGACATGGCCTTGTACTGAAGGATTTGTCACAGTCTTTGCATTTGTAAGGCTTCTTTTCTGCATGAATTCTTTTATGCATTGTAAGATTTGAACTCACATTAAAGGATTTGTTGCAGTCCTTACATGTGTAAGGCTTCTCTCCGGTATGAATTCTTTCATGTTTTATAAGACTTGACTTCATAATAAAGGATTTGTCACAGTCTTTACATTTGTAAGGCTTCTCTCCTGTGTGAATTCTCTGATGCACAGTGAGATATGAAGAAGTACTATAGAATTTTTTACATTTCCCACACTGGTATGGTTTCTTTCCAATGCAGATTGGTTGTTGAAAAAGACTATATGTAGTGTCAAGACGTTCATATTCTCCCTCCCTGTGCTTGCTCTTTGCAGTGTAGAGTCTGTGATGTTGAGTAATGCTTGAACACACATTTAAGGATTTCTCACTTTCTTTAGAATTGCAAGGTTCTTCTCCAGTGTGCATGCTTTCATGTCTCTCTGGGTTTGATGAGTCAACAGAGGCATCCCTGTAATTACTGCATCCGTAGTTATTAGAGTTTTCTACAGTTTCACTCGTTCTAAAAAGTGCACATGTAGAGGGGTCATGAAAAATATTTCCGAGCTCATTACACTGACAAGACTCCTTTTCAGTTTTCCCGAGTTGATGGACAGGATCACATATGAAATATTTCTCTGGAAAATGAATAAGGTCATATTAGTAGGGGGTTGTTCTAAGATGAAACATCTGATAAATGACTGTCTCTCTATGTTCTCTCCTGAAATAAGTCAACCAGCAACTACTTAGACATTTTTCTTATTCAGACTGACACTCTGCAGTTATTTGTGAATCATAACAGACATCTCATCCTTATTAAAATTGTCTAATGGCACAGGATGGATCAGGAAAATGAAGAATCAAAAATTAGCTTTGGGATTGAGATCACTGACTCATTAAATTTTTCATACATGTCTCTATGTTTAAATATTTCTCCTCAGAAATTGATTAACAGTTTAATACAATCCCAAGTTCACAGAACTCATTCTTATTAAGGGATAGACAATGAAAATTTGTGTTCAAAAGACTAAATTCCTCAAAAGATTAAAAGTCTTATTTAAGTGCATCATAGGGTTTATTTTTGTCTCTAGGAAAACACATTAGATTATTTACAAGTAATATTAGGAAGGACAGTATTCTGCTAAACACAGAGGCTGAGTTCATTTGAGACAGGTCTGTCAAAAGCAGCTATTTCTTATTTCTATTCTCCATTTTCTAAGATCCACATGGTACTATGTTTCTTAACTTTTCTCATATGGTTATTCTCAATTCTAATCTGTATACCAACTCTTGAGAGTTTATTCCAGAAGGATGTCTGTTTATCCTCTACTGGGAATAAAATATGGATTCAATATAAAGACAGACATCAAGGAAGACAATTAAAGAATAATCGTACTTCATATACCCATATTAAACTTATAATTTGTAAAATTATTGCAATCTGGTATCAAGAACATTAAATCAAATTGCATTTTGTACTAGTATTATGATCATAATTCAGGTGTTTTATTCTACTGTTGTAATAGTTAAAACAGACAGGATACATCCTGGGACTAGGAAGCTATTCTAAATTAAATGATCAAAAATCCTTTTAGGTGCAATGGAATATGGTAAAAAATATTCTCAGCTCCTGCTTCATCTTTTACAAGAAGCCATCATTGTTGTCTTGCTCATATCCTAGGCCATTCCAGGGGAATCTCATTTGCTCCTGAAGGAGACCATGCCTACTTTGCAAACATTAATCCATGTGTTCTGTGAAGTAGTCCATGAAACATGCTGATGTTTTTAGAAAGGATATAGACATCTAACATAACACTACACTTAGTAGATGAAGAGAATATACAGTAGAGGAATGTAGGGATATTTTCCAGTTGCTATTTCCTGTCAGGATCTTCAGCAAATTTAGGGAATTTTAAATTTGCACATTGAGTTTTTCTAAGAATTTTACCATGTCAGGTACAACTATGGACATGAGGCTTTAATATATGCTACAAATATGACATGACACTAAGTTTCCAAATGCATTGTAAAATCAATATGAGGGATGCATGACAACTTTATTATGGAAAATGGAAAGAAAAATGCAAAGAAAACATTATTTTCTACTACCAAAATTTCCTATTCTCATGTTGCTCCTAAGGCAATTTTACAGTGAGTGAGGATACTACCAATAATGCCAATACATGCAAGTGACTAGTTAGAAATTCTACAAGGAAAATGTTCTTACCCACAGAGACCAGATTGTTGTAATTCTCCAGCATCACATCAATGTACAAAGCCCTCTGAGCAGAGTCCAGGCACTTCCATTCCTCTTGGGAAAAGTCCACATGCACATCCTTGAATGTCAATAGACCCTGAAATAAAAGACTTGTTTGACCATGTGCTACCAGACAGAGTGTGTTCCTGTATATAAGTAGACATGAGGAAATTAGGCATGTAAATAATGAAGACAGTTAATCAAACAGATGATTTTAATGTAGTCACATTGTATAATGGCTGGTCTAACTCTGTGAAAACAGTAACACAACAGACTCACAAGCAACATATACAAAACAACACACATTTAAGGTCTAGACATGGTTATCAATCTGTTATGGATGCTGTGTTTATGTCCCACAGGATCAGAGTGTACATGTCTCAGAAGAAATACTTATGGTAAGGAAATGTGCTTTAATTGCTGTACCTGTAGATGATGGTAAAAAATAGTGCCAATCTATCAATTCTGTGAATTCTTTGATCTTACATGATTCTGTTCTAACATGCTAAGTCCATATGCTGGAACTCTAGGTCCCATGCCATTCCACTGAGGAGCAAAGTGGTAGATATCAAAAGTATAATTCATGTTAGAGGTCTTAGGCAAATAATTTTCACATTCATTAACAATGAAGGAATGTAATAACACTGCGAACTGACAATTTTAACACTAACATATAAGAACAGGTAATCTACGGGATTAGTGTTATAGGTATTTTTGAGTCATTACCAACCAGATGGAAAAAGCCGTATCAATCATATTTAGAATAATCTAAAATTTAACTAACATAATAGGAATGTGGCAATTTAGGCAAAATAATACTTGCAGATATTTTGAAGAGTATTTCTTTTGTGTAGAGTTCTAAAAATCAAGGGAAGTCCTGTTACATGATATTTGTTTACACTGGGGGAACATGTGTCTACCTTTGCCACACCTGATTGGCTTAATAAAGAGATATATGACCAACAGGTATACAGGAGTTCCACAGAAAGCGAGGAACTCGGGAAGAAACTGGTGTAGAGAGAGACATCAGCAAGACACAGAACAAATTGGAAGCAAAGAAGAAAGGAAGGGGAAAAGCCACACAAGGGAACACAGATTAATAGAAACAGGTAAATTTGAGTTAGCAGATGTAGTTGGGAACGAGCCAAAGCTAAAGGCCAACGTTTCATAATTAATATTAAGTCTGTCATTATGGGAGCGCTGGCAGTCCCACAAAAGAAAGTCCAATGACAATGTCCAAAAATACATCAAATTATGTTTAATTTATAGGTAAAAATGTAAACTTAAGTGTAGTAACTGTGGTTGCATTCACAAATGACATAGATTACCTGTCAGTAACAGAATGTATTAAATTCTGTGAGAAATAGCATCACTTTTCAGTGTTTTACAAATGTAATAGAGCTCAGAGTAAATTTGAGCTTTTTCCACTTTTGAATTTTGTAGTTTTCTATGTGTTTCCTTCTAGTACTTATTCCATATCGTCTAACAGGTTTTAGGCTAGTAGTGCTTAATATTCTTCCTTTATTTCTCTGGACATGCATAGTGGTGACATATTCTGTCTGAGCCATGAGGCAGGAATAAATGCAAACATGAAGGTCAGAGCCCATTCCCCAAATCTCCACTTAAAAGCACTTTAGCATCAGGGTAGGGACATCAACCCATCATCTCACAGGAAACTGAATAGAGTTAAGCAGTCACAAGAAATATTCTCTCTTCATCAAATACAACGTATTATGCACAGCAATCAGTCAAAACCCCAAGAAATTATTCCAGATGCATTTCACATAATTATTCCAGATGATTCCAAGCTAGAAAGGACTGCACAGTGGGATCCTGATAGGGGTTGAAAGGAAAATAAAAGTTAAAAATACTGTTCAGGATCCCTAAATTCCATCATGGAAACACTCAGGAAAATTACTTTGAAATACTGCCTCCCCCCAGGCAGAGAACAGATGTCATCAGCAACCTAAAAGCAATTGTGAAACAGGACAAGAAGAGAAAGGAAGCCTTATTCACTGTTGAAGGAGGAGGATGTAAAGTAATACAGTCATTGTGGAAAGCAATCTGAAATTTATTCAAAGAATTTAATGGAGAATTAACACATAAACCAGTTGTTTCACTTCTCAAATGTAACCAGAAAACTCCATATTCTAATATAGAGATATTTATACACCATGTGCACTGCTATTGAAATTACAATAGCAAAGTATTAGAAGCATCCTAACTATCTATCAACAGATGAATGGATAATGAAAATGACATACATATAAAATGGAATACTATTCAGCTGAAGAGAAAATTGCAACAAAAATAACAGGAAAATTGTTGGACTTAGAATGTGTAAAATTTAGTGAGACCACACAGTGTCAAAAAAAAAAAATCCACACATTTTCCCTCATATGCAGAAACTGGTCATATGTGCGTATGAAAAACAATATACATGTGGGAACAGCAGATTATGGAGAGATGACACAAGAAATATTGAATATCAGGGTTGAGTTAGAACTGAATACAGGTAATGACACCACTTGAAAAAGGATGTAAATCTAAGAGCTTTTCTAGCTCTAATTATACTGCATTTATTTTTTTTCTGATGGATACATTCATAAAAATCTATTCAATAACAAAAATGTAAAATCGCTTTTGTATGATTCCAGTGTACCTGTTCCCAATGACTACTCTAATTTCATAAAAGTATGTTGATTTGAACAGTATTTGGGTCTGGTTAATTTCAGTGTGTGTCTGTTTGTTTGTTTGTAACAATTCTCCTAATAAAACTTAAAATATTATCAATAGCAGAAAGTTAAATGCTTGTGATATCTGAACATAATGACATTTCTAGAAAAGTGGACATGAACACTGACCTGGGATATGCTTACTAGAGAACCAGCCATTTCTTTCTGTGTGTCTTCCTTAAGTTTCTCTTTCAGGAACAATGACTTGATAGATGGCTTGCTGTCCTTTCTTTTAAGATCAATGCAAAAGAAGGAAAACAAATTAATACTGAAAACTGTTAAAGAACATTGACAAGCCACATAAAAAGATTCAAGCAACAGCCCATGACCAGGTATACAGACAATTCCAAATCCAGGAGAGCTTGGATTGACATTTAAAGCTTGAAGAGAAAATCAGTATCAACTATATTATTATATCCAGGAAAAGTCTATCTTAAAATTGATGGAGACATAAAGACATTACAAGATAGTCTCAAATTAACATAACTGATTTCACTAATGCACCATTTCAGACAATATTTAGAGACAAAATTTATACAGGAGAATCAACAGGAAATAATAAATTTCATGTGAAGAATACTCAATCCCAGAGAACTGGGAAGTAATCATCCACGGGCAAGACAGAAAATTACTAATTCTCACACAGAAGGAAGAAAACCCCTACCAATAATCCACCTAGCAACAACATCAAAAAGTTCTAGAGGATACAGGTATACATACATACATACATACACACACACACACACACACACCAGTAATTCTTTTTACAATACAATGTGAGACTTGAGTTTCTCAGGCTCAGCAAGGCAGGTAAGATTTACACAAGAGAGATAAACTAAAATTGCCAAGAGAAACTTTTAACATCAATTGCTCAAGGCTGTGGGTCAAAGAGGGGGGGGGGGGGTCTAAGTTTATTTTGCCCAAGAAAGAAACTGGTGCCTTCTAGTGCTCTGGTTTCACTTGTAGCACAGGCCTTCAGGAAAGTTTACTTTTCCCTGAGAATGAGCAAATGCACTGATTACCTTTATCGTTATTTCTCAGATGAAACGGGAGGGAGCAGTTAATCTCTGATCTAAAATCTTGAGTTATTAAACAAGAAGTTTGAGAATCTTTTAGTGCAGGGTTAGTTTGGATTTTCACCTCTCTATCTGCCAGTGAGGTGAACAAGGGCATGCTTATTTTTTCTATACATCTGGCAACTATGAATCAACAGCTCTGGGTGTGTAGTAATTCTATGTCCTTGGGTATCTGGGAATGTCTTAGATGTGATACTTTTGCCTGAGCCTTACACACTGACCAAATGTCTGTCAATAAAGGTTATTGCAGGAAGCTAGAATTCTGCAATTACAATGGAGAGCGGAATAAGGACCTGATAGTGGGAGACAGGTCTAAGAGATTTAATCAGTAAACTAGGACCTGTTAATGGAGAACAGGTTTTACACATAGTTAGGGAGTGTAATCAGTAAAACTCCAAATGCATGGGAGAAACTAGTTCCCAGTAAATGATCAGATTGTGGGAAGTAAATCCCAAGTTTGTTACAGAAAGGGATAAGCTCTAGGAAGAACCTACAGCGACAAACAGCCAATTTATTCACAAGTTTATAAGGCTATGTACAGATTTTATGCTATTACATCTAACAGAAGAATCCTTAATTCATCTGAGTAATCTCCTGAAAGTATAGCTGTATAATTACTATGTGATCTTACAGAGTATTTTTCCAAGAAACACTGAGCAGGAGCAAGAAAGGCTGTAAGCAAGCTATTTTCACCCACAGAAAGCAAACTGCTGCAACTCTGTAGCATCCATACTCAGTACAGAGCCCTCTGAGCAGGCTGCAGGCATTGAACCTCCTCCTGTGAGAAGTCCAGTCACACCACAGGACATTAACAGACCACAAAATAAAACACAGCACATTATGGAGGCAGAATTCTAAATAGTCTTAATAAACACAGAATCAGATATCAGTGTAAATGGTCAAAAATAAGAGAAGTAAATGAGCCAACCACTAGTGAGACTTCTTACCTCTACTGAATGCTCAGACCAAAAGGGTGAGATCCAGTTTCTAAGAGTCCTCAGAATGAACGGACTGAGCTGGTGTCTGCTTTTACCTCCTATGCCTCCCACCCAGCCACATCACTTTAGGTCTCCACCATCCTAGTGCTGAGATTAAAGGTATGTGATTCCCAAATACTGGTATTTAAGGTGTGAGCTCTACTTTTTTTTTTTTTTTTTTTTTTTTTTTTTTTTTTTTTTGAGAATGGTTAAATCTCTGGTAGTGTTTGGTGGCCTTGAACTGCTGTCTGTTTGAATTGCTGGGATTAAAGGTGTGGACCTCCACAGCCTGGCCTCTATGGCTTACCTAAGGGCTAGGTAAACTCTGATTTTCAGGCAAACATTGTTAGAGCATAAATAAAATATCACCACAAGCTTCAGCAGTTGTTTTGATGGACGCATTTAATACTACAACTTGGGAGACTCAGGTGGGTGGGACTCTGTGAGGACCAGTACAGCCTCCTAGGCATGGTGAGTCCTGAGCAAGGCAGAGCAACACCTTGAATTCAGGTCTCAAACACAACAAACAAAGGAACCTAAATTAACAGTGTGGTCATGTGTCCATAAACAGAGTGCTTATTTTGGACCAAGGAGATGAAAGAGTCTTGTAGAGATTTTTCTGATGTAGATAAGTTATGGCAATTATTCAAAATTCCTTCTAATTTTATCCTGTATTATGACACCTCCCCTGTTTTTCTTCATGCCCACCTCCTGGGGGACATAGTTTCTCTGTTTAATCTCAGATATCCACAAACTCCCTGTGTAGACCAGCTTGGCAAGCCTGCCTCTTCCCACATGCTGGGGTTAAAAGCTAGTGTCAATACCATCTGTTTCATAATACCTTTTTCTAACTGTGATCTGATACCATGAAGCAAGATACTGTGCTATTCTAGGTACTAGGGTGCAATATTAAGAAGTCAGCATGAGAAGACACAATTCTTTTTTATTCCTTCCCTTATTTTCCTGACATAAGATCTCACCATGTAGACCTGGCTGTCATAGAATGCACCCTAACGATCAAGAAAGTCTCTCACTCAGGCCCACCTCTCTTTGCCTCCCCAGTAGTGGGGAGGTGTTTTTTCCTGCTGGTCTGTCTGGACCCACAGCCATGCCAGCCCCAAATAATACACGGAGACGCTGTATTAGATATAATTCTGTAGGCCTCTTATTAGTGGCTATCTAGAAGCTTATACCTGTACTCTCATCTTCTGGCAAGGGCTGCCAAAGACACAAAAGAAAGCCTATGCTTCAAGTGGAAAATTAATGGAAGGTAAAAATTTCACTTTTAAATGTCAGTGATTACAACCCTATCTGTGTAACTCATAAAAGCTCTTCTTATGGATTCAATTATATTTAGAGGTTCAGAATGCGAAATTAATAGTTTTCTGTGCCGCTCTCTTGAATAGGGAAGTGGTTTAAGTTGAAAGCAAGCATGGAGGGATGTAAATTTGAAGAACTTTGTGCTTTCCATGTTAGCAAAGAGAACTGCTTATGAATATCAACACATACATTTAAATATTCTAGCAAGTTATTGTGTAAAACATTTTGGCAAGGACAATCAATAAAAGGGGCAAGCTTAGTGCAATTACTATAATCTGAAAGTTGCCAGACAAGAGTTAAACAACCATAGTAGGAATTTCTGAAAAATCTCCTAGCTGAGAAACTCATCAGATCCTTGGTCTCTTCCTTCTTGTATCCCAGGCCAGTATTTCCTGCCACTGCACTGTTGCTGGTGACTTTACCATAACTGCTGACCAGGAAACTGTGGCTGTGTGTAGTTTTTAAGTTCCAGTGAGTATCTGTCCTTTTCCTCTGCACCCAGGTCATGACACTTAACTCTTTATCTTCACAGTGTAACTTGTTATCCCAAAATCCAATTACTGAGAATTTTCTAGTCTCTTCCACTCTTCAGTCTTTCTTTTCAACATCTAAATTGGACCTCCTCCCTCCTTCTCCACAATGCGCCATTCCCTCCCACTGTCTCAGAACACCTTGCACTGGCTTTCAGGATGCCCTAGACCAGCTCCACAGAGTTTACCCACATGCTTGCTGCTAGCCTAGAGCAGAACTGAATGTAAGAGGACCCTGCATCCCTGTATCAGACCCCCACAGTGACTCTGAGCCCTTCATGTAAAATCAGGTAGCCTAACCTCACCTCAACTACCAAACTACCGGGATTCAATTTACATCAAACAATAACAGGCTAAATTCAGATTCCAGCATCCGATCGCTAACAGTAAACTGAAAAATCAAAACCAAATACTGCAACTGTGACTTGGGAAGAGAGATTTTAGGAACTTGTATCTTGAAAAGAAATAGACGTCAACCCATTACTAACAGCCCAGGACCAAGTTTATCCTGCACTTCATGGCTGTGACCACTAGGTGGTGGTCTGGTCACGTTCCTAACTGAAGCTTGTCTTCTGTGATTCAGGTTCAGGTGCTTTGATCCACACAGGCCCGTGGCCGAACATACACACTCATACACTCTAACCCCACCAACTCCTAGGTGAATGCGGAGACACTTGGCTCTGCCAGATGAAGGAAATAAATAAGGTATTAGTAGTGATATTTTGTTTGTAATCTAACAAAGAAACCTTGCCTAAGGATCAGAAAAACAGAGTGGCCAGTCCCTGGCCCTTACCTGTATCTCAGTCAAAATGGCCAATACTCTCTCCAAGATTCCTCAGACTGCACTGCTCCGGTCTCCTCCTGCCTTATATTCCTCTCTCCAAGCAGCCATCACTCTTGTTCCCACCTCCCTAGTGCGGGAATTAAAGGCTTGTGATCCCTAACTACTGGGATTAAAGGTGTGAGCCAGGCTTCTCTTTTGAACTGATTCACTCGACTATAGGCCAAGGTGACCTTGAACTCATAGAGATCCCTCTGCCTTTGTCTCCTGAGTGCTGGGATTAAAGGTGTGATGACCTTTGCTTGGCCTCTGTGACTAACTATTGTCTTGGGTGGGTGATTATCTAGAGCCTTAATCCTGCACTCTGATCTTCTGGCAAGCTTTATTTTTTAGATTAAAAAAAAAAAAAAAAAAAAAAAAAAAATCTTCACTGCGTTCAATTTTATCTTCAAACCAATATTGGCTCCCTATTTTA